TGATCATGTGTCAGTGCTTCTCTCTCTTTCACTGCAAGCCTCCTGGTCCGCTAAGACTGCTTAGCAATGACCCGCTTCTCTAGCTAACTGCCCTTATCTCAGCAGCAATTTAAAAGGGTTGCTGACTGTAGTGTTTGATGCACAGGCCGCCTTTGTAGGAAGTATCTGTTGTATATGAACAGTAACTGAAATTTGGACCGTCCAGCCCACGCATTCATGCATTTCATCACAAACGGCTTTGGGCTCACAGTAGTAACTCAGGATGTGTGTTGAGGGAGAGTGTGTGCTGTAGTTTCCCTTTTAATAGGAGTGTGGTAGTTGTGTTAGTGAGTGGAGCCGGAGTTGTTGAAGGTTTCCTGGACAGGAAGATATCTGAGATTAGAGGAGACCGTCAGACATCTGGATGTGATTGTCTGCAGAGAGCTGCCATTGTTTCCCATTATTTATAGATGTGTATGTGCGCCTCTCCAGAGTGAGAAACAGATGTTGTTCTGAAAGCAGATGGGTCATTCGCAGACACTGAAAGCCTTTTTGTCGTATTAATGAGGACCTGTCCTGTAGAAGCGGCGCTAAAATAAAGGCGGGTAGTGAGCAAATTATTGCTGAGGCTGATCTGCTCCCCATTACTGACTTACCATTCCTTGTTCTGCACTGTCTCTGGGTGGAGGTGGCCATCTTGGTGGAGACAGGCCTTTGCTTCCTCATGTCAGAGCTCTCCGCATGGAAAACAGTGAGCAGCACTATTGTGACATCGCCAAACCTCCTGAGATTAGCAATGAGAGGCAGCAGTGCCTTCGATCTCACACTGCAGATATACAGCTATGAGGCTGTAGGTACAGGTGGTACCCTAAGCGCACTCGCATACCATACGGCTATTTTTAGTGATGAACTCCAGACAAAAATGACGGTGGGGTTTCCAGGGCAGCCCCAACTGTCCAAAAAACAATTGCCAGTAGTTTACCTGCATAAGGGTATGCAGGGCAACTAGGCCTTTTTGGTGTGGTGGACTCAGAGGAGTTCCCCCAGTGAGCCCTCTGCTTCTAAATAGCTGTGTGTGGTGTCTGGCACGGTGATAGAGGATACTCCTCCTTCTGAATGTTCCCTATAACATAAGCAAATTGCAATATTTTTTTTAGATTTCAGTTCCACTTTACAGCTGAAATCCGACCACAAAAACCTTCATTTAAATATAGTCTTCAATGGCCGCGAAGGATATAAAGCCACGTTGTGTGCACCAAATTCTTTTTCAAACTCTGATATTATCTTGTAAGTAGCAGTGATATCATCACTGGGCTGCACATAGCCAGTGCGGAGCTGTGGGAGGGCCCCGGTAGGCTCCACCCACTACAGACTGCCTGCAGAAAACTACAGGAGGGGCGAAGACAAGACCAGTCACCCTGCACAAGGAGAAAGAGCAGCAGTGACTGGTCTTTATTACAGGGGGGGGCGGAGACGAGACCAGTCACCTTGCACAAAGAGAGAGCAGCAGTGAGCGGTCTTTATTACAGGAGGGGGCGGAGAAAAGACCAGTCACCCTGCACAAGGAGAAAGAGCAGCAGTGACCGGTCTTTATTACAGGAGGGGGCGGAGAAAAGACCAGTCACCCTGCACAAGGAGAGAGAGCAGCAGTGAGCGGTCTTTATTACAGGAGGGGGCGAAGACAAGACCAGTCACCCTGCACAAGGGGGGAGAGCAGCAGTGAGCGGTCTTTATTACAGGAGGGGGCGAAGACAAGACCAGTCACCTTGCACAAGGAGAAAGAGCAGCAGTGAGCGGTCTTTATTACAGGAGGGGGCGGAGACAAGACCAGTCACCCTGCACAAGGGGGGAGAGCAGCAGTGAGCGGTCTTTATTACAGGAGGGGGCGAAGACAAGACCAGTCACCTTGCACAAGGAGAAAGAGCAGCAGTGAGCGGTCTTTATTACAGGAGGGGGCGGAGACAAGACCAGTCACCCTGCACAAGGAGAGAGAACAGCAGTGACTGGTCTTTATTACACCGAGGGGTGGAGACAAGACCAGTCACCCTGCAGAAGGAGAGAGAACAGCAGTGACTGGTCTTTATTACAGGAGGGGGCGGAGACAAGACCAGTCACCCTGCAGAAGGAGAGAGAACAGCAGTGACTGGTCTTTATTACAGGAAGCTCCTAGTCTCACACTGGATTACACAGATCTGGAGGAAATACACAAAGCTCACCAAGCTTTAAGGAACAATACACAACGCTTGGATTTAGGAAATATTTGCTTATCCCGGAGTTCAGCTTTAGTTTTAGATCTGTGCTGACGTAACAATTTGAGTCTGGTTATGTGCAGCAGTGGTTCCGCCCTGCATACGTCTGTATCTCTTGGCTGGAGCCGGGGCTCGGCACATGTGCGTTCATTCAGTATCAGTCTGTGGCCGGGTTGAGCGCGCCGTGTGTGAGGGAAGGCACCGAGCCTTTTATGGAATAAACAAAGCTTTGTCTTCAGCAATGTGTGCACACGCAGCAGTGTGGTCAGAGCAGGAAGTGTGTCAGACTTCCTGAGTCACAGCCCCAAAGCCGGCCTGCAACACATTCATATTTCCTACCCGGCCCCAAACGCTGCCGGGATTCTCCAGTCAGCAGAACACTCACCAGATGGTTTACCCGTGTACTCCTTCTCCGCCACTCTGCAGAGCTCAGCCCGCTGGATGCGCAGGGGTCCCAGGGTCCACGTCCTTCTCTGCTGCAACACAGGGAAAGGCAAAATCCAGTGAAATAAAAGGATTATTGACGCATTTTCCTGAATCAATACTTCTTTCCTGATGCACACGGCAGTCTTTTCTGGGTCTACCTTCTATATAGTTACATAGACACAAGTCCATGTGATTATTTTATGGTCGTGGTATACATCGGTATCACAGGTTTTATTTTGTTCTCTTTGCTGTAACCTTAAGGTCTCGTTCACACCTAGGTGTATTGCATATGCGCGTCTGTCGCGCGTTTTTTACCGCGCGTTTCCGAAGGCTACTTGGCTGTATCCCAATGGAAACGCGCAACAAAACGGCCCAAAGTAGTACCTGGACCTTTTCAGGCGTGGGCCGTTTTGTAGCGCGTTAGGGACGGGCGGGAATACGCCAAGGTGGGAACGAGGCCATTGAATACAATGGGATTTATATTTTTGAGCGTTTTGTAGAGCGTTCGTCGAGCGTAGAAAGCGCTACAAAACGTTCCGGTGTGAACGAGGGCTAAAGGACCGGTGTCACCCGAAACTGATCATTTCGTTATAAGAGAAGCCTCTTATCCCCATCATACTACCAACAGTGAGATCTCCCTGCCATCATTCCTGGCTTGTTTCCTGTCCACCTTTTGTGTGTCCTGACTCCTCCTGTTAAATTCTGCATAATAAAAAAATATTTGGGCAGCGCATGTATACAGACCCAGGAACTCAGCACAGGGATGGTGGGAGCTCCTCATAATGGGCACAGCATGTATACAGACTCAGAACTGAGCACAGGGATGGTGGGAGCTCCTCATAATGGGCACAGCATGTATACGGACTCAGAACTGAGCACAGGGATGGTGGGGGCTCTTCATAATGGGCACAGCAAGTGTACCGAACCGGGAGCTCAGCACAGGCATGGTGGGAGCCCCTCATAATGGGCACAGCATGAGTACAGACCTGGGAACTCAGCACAGGGATGGTGGGGGCCCCTCATAATGGGCACAGCATGAGTACAGACCTGGGAACTCAGCACAGGGATGGTGGGAGCCCCTCATAATGGGCACAGCGGGTGCACAGACCAAGGAACTCAGCACAGGGATGGTGGGAGCTCCTCATAATGGGCACAGCGGGTATACAGACTCAGAACTCAGCACAGGGATGGTGGGGGCCCCTCATAATGGGCACAGCGGGTGTACAGACCAAGGAACTCAGCACAGGGATGGTGGGGGCCCCTCATAATGGGCACAGCGGGTGTACAGACCAAGAAACTCAGCACAGGGATGGTGGGGGCCCCTCATAATAGCCACAGCAGGTGTACAGACCCGGCAACTCAGTACTCGGATCTCCTTTTATTATAGTCCCTGCGAGAAAGGAGTCAGCAGGGGATATCAGTCTCCAGCATTGGAGTATCACATACATAGAATATATATAATTGTTTGTGCACACACACTCTCTGGTAACCGATAAACTAAATCTTTCTTAAAATGAATTAGTCAGTTTATGGCGCAGCAGAGGTGTTCAGAAGTGCGGCACAAGGTTGATGGTGCAAGATGGCTAATGCATGCGATAGTTTGTATTCGTACTCATCGGCCAGCCTTGGTTTATTGCGCCCGGTGTGTGTACTTCTAAATAGGATATTTCTTAAAGTGTCACTCCAGGCAAAATCAAAAATCATTCTATTATCCGTGTCTCTAAATGATTATCTGTTAGTAACATACTCGCCTTTCAATTCAATTGCAAATGATTTCCAGTTACCTGATCCTGCCAGTTCCCAGATCGGCAATCTCTTTCTGGTGTTTGGCCGGCAATGCTCTCTAGCCCCGGCGCTGTCAGCATTCCGCTTTTTCCCTGCACAATTTGCATACATTGTGATGTGGCATGTCTGATCCCTCCACCAATGCACAAGACATTCACAAGGAAGCATTGACAGCGCCTATATGTGAGAAATACATGGAAATGTGTCGGGTACTAGGTCATTTACTGCTGTTATGTTGGCACAGCTAAAGTCCATGCCCACCACGTGCAGACGAGCGGACAGGGAACAGAGGGTTTGTGGTCATGTGACCAGAGTTTAAAAAGGGTAATTTTTATAGCTGCTAGTTAGAAAATGTAGAAGAGCACGAACATAGTACTGTGACTGGTGCCATTGGGTTATTTGTGAGAATTTCCATGAACTTTAATGAAAGAAAAGGACGCTCCTTTCTAATGCCGGTCTCCTCTTCCTTCTGACAGGTCCTGAACAAAGTGTATGGAAATTACCTCGTTTCTCCAGAGCCAGGTATGGATTTTATTCTTCTTTTCTTTCATATGATGCATTTTACCTGAAACTTTCTATCCTTTAAATGTTCCCACCAAATATAGAATGTTTTGGGTTTTAAATGGGGCCCCTCACCCTCGCGCTGCAAAGTTTAAAGTGTATGTCGGGGCTAAATACAAACACATGTAGCACATCTCTGCAATACATGAAGGGGCGTCCCCAGCATTTTTGGTGCATGAGCCGCGGAGGGGGAGTGGGGGGGGGGCACAGTGTACCAACGAGCTCCTGGCAACCAGTGATATCATTGGTTGCCAGGAGCTCGGCGGGACACCAGCAACAGCGTCCCAGGTTGCTAAGAGCTGGGCGGAAAGATGTGTATGGCCTTTACACATCTTCGCCTTGCTCTTAGCAACCTGGGATGCTGTGGCCAGGAAGGGGGCGTCAGGCACACACATTCTGCTCTATTTGCCGCTCCTACCCCGCTACCTGAGGCCTCTCCGCTGCTGCGGGTCTCCCCCTTTGCACTTCTCCCCTGCTGCGGGTCTCCCCCTTTGCACTTCGCCCCTGCTGCGGGTCTCCCCCGTTTGCACTTCGCCCCTGCTGCGGGTCTCCCCCGTTTGCACTTCGCCCCTGCTGCGGGTCTCCCCCGTTTGCACTTCGCCCCTGCTGCGGGTCTCCCCCGTTTGCACTTCGCCCCTGCTGCGGGTCTCCCCCGTTTGCACTTCGCCCCTGCTGCGGGTCTCCCCCGTTTGCACTTCGCCCCTGCTGCGGGTCTCCCCCGTTTGCACTTCGCCCCTGCTGCGGGTCTCCCCCGTTTGCACTTCGCCCCTGCTGCGGGTCTCCCCCCTTTGCACTTCGCCCCTGCTGCGGGTCTCCCCCCTTTGCACTTCGCCCCTGCTGCGGGTCTCCCCCCTTTGCACTTCGCCCCTGCTGCGGGTCTCCCCCCTTTGCACTTCGCCCCTGCTGCGGGTCTCCCCTTTGCACTTCGCCCCTGCAGCGGGTCTCCCCCTTTGCACTTCGCCCCTGCTCCTTGTGCTGCGTTATGAATGAAACCAGACACAGTGGTAAGACGTTGAACTGTCTGTTCTGTGCAGGTTACAATGTATCTTTGCTGTATGATTTGGAGGCATTACCCCCCAACCGAGATTCCGTTATACACCAAGCCGGCATGCTGAAGAGAAACTGCTTTGCCTCCGTGTTTGAGAAGTACTTTAGGTATCAGGAAGAGGGGAGAGACGGTGAGAGGAGAGCCGTTATTCACTACCGGGACGACGAGACCATGTAAGCCTGATGCACTTCGCTTAACTCTGCTCGTACCTTGCTCCTCCCTCCCATGTACTGTAGGTCACTCCTGGGAGGGGGGTTAAGATGATCTTTTACTAAAATTACTTTATTCACCAGGCAAAAAAAAACAGTGGCTCAAGTGGGTTCTGGCTTTCTGCGCCCTCCAGCAGAGCCAGGCACAGGCCACTTGAAATCTGCAAGAATGCACGTCTCTAATTTCCATGGTAGGCCCACCTTTTAGAAAGCAGTAAATGAGCTTTAATACAGGCCCTCACTGACCTCTATAGCTGCAAGCACTGTGGAGCATTTCATCCTCAAGATTGACGGCAACAGTACTTAAGTCCTTCTCTTTAGCTGCTCAGCTCCCCCTATCCAGCAGTGACTTAGAAAGAATTGGGTAATACACCAGAGACGCACTCCTAAAAGTTGGCATTCCACATCTGCTATTTATTGGTATGGCCCCCACCACCACCCCAGCTCAAGGGTAGGGCTCATTCATATTGCTAGCAGCAGGCTGGCAGGGCTGGGAACTCTGAAAGTTGGGGAGCGATCCTTTACATTCAAGTGCCTGGCTCTAATCATGTCCTAAAACATTTGACAGGTACGTGGAATCCAAGAAGGATCGGGTGACTGTGGTGTTCAGCACAGTGTTTAAGGATGATGACGATGTGGTGATAGGAAAGGTATTCATGCAGGTAAGTTTCCTG